GGGCCGCGTTTTACAGTGCTTTCACCAGCTTCGGTGAGGGAGCTCGCTGGGTGTGGAAGAAGAGATGTTTCAGGGCAGTACTAGATTGGGAAGGAAAAGCAGTCGCTTCTGTATCACCTTTTAGGTGAAACCGTGATTGTGTTGTTAACTAGATCGTGGCATATAAGCAAGTCAAATAACTTGGAGTATGCTTCAGTTGTGTAGTTAAAACTGGTGCTTTTATATATGGGGGGGGGGGGGCAAAAAAAAATGTAGTCGTTATTTTCTGTTAACCTTTTGTCCTTTTTTGGGAAACAAGTTATTAATCTGTTTAAAATTCTGTTTGCTCTCAGACCAGTCAAATAAGCTAGACAGGTCACCTGTGTAGAGACAGTGTGGCAATTTGGGGGAAAATCAAACATCTAGACTACACGTTTGTTCTTGCATGAGTAATGAGTTTGCTGTGTCTACAGGAGGTGTACATGTCCACAGGCTATGTTAGTCAGGTATTAGAAAACTATAAATAGAAATGTGCTACCATTCAGTCTTAAGTAGCCCAGAGACTCAAAGTACTTTTGTTTGGTGCCATCAGGAAGGAGGAAAAAGAAGTAGAAGCAGACAAAATAATTCATCAAGAGAAAAGTGAGCCCAGCCTGATCTGTCCCCCACCACGCAGCAGAAGCTATCATCCTCCGGAGGATATACAGAGCTACCTTGAATCTCATGTCAAGGAGATTTTTGGACCCTCACTTCCTGATAGTTGGCAGCAGACACCCCTCAAAGATAACAGGTTAAAGTATTGCCTGCTGAGTCAGCTGGCAGCAGAACTTGGTCACGCTGTCCCCAGTTCACAGCTCCACCTGATGCGCAGTGCTGAGGATGTCTTAAATTTCTATAGCACTCCTGTGAAGGATACGTCCAAGTTTGATGAACTGTGTGCTGCAGAGCTGCCCCCAAACCTGAAGATTAACTGGGAGGAGTGAGTCACACCAAGAAGCATTGCTTCGCTTTACTTGTGTTTGTAAGACGGGACTACAGAATAGAAGCAGAGCCCTTTCATTGTAGTAGCAACCGAATGCATGTATATCACTAATAAAAGTTCATTTAGTTGTCCTTGGGTTTCATTGTTTGTTTATTATACGTAAGAAAAGGAGCAGAAGTTCTCCTTGTGAAACAGTGATGTAGTGTGCTTCATAACGGTACTAATGTATGCTTTCTGCCCTCTACTGTGCTGCCCAACAGTTACAGGATCCAGTGGGGTTAGCCAGAGGACCAGTCTCTAGTTTCTTCCCCACATCTCAAACTTCTTGTTTTTCGTTTTGCACTGTGTAATGGGCTTTTGTGAGTGCAGCTGATGACAAAAGCCTTGCTCAACTTAGCCACCAAGACTGGCTGGGCCAGCAAACTCTTGGGCATGAGGGGGGAGGTAAGCCATATTTTTATATTTTTCTTTTTTTTTCCTTATTCTTTTTTTCTTTGAAAAGAAGACCCTGACAGCAGTAATTTTTTTAGAAGCCATCACAGGTGCCATCTTAACATAAATCCACTTGTTCTACTCAAAACTGGTACATGAACGTAGTGCCAAATGGAATTCTGAAATCTCTTAACTCAGTAACTGTGAACTCTCCAGCAGCCCTATAAAAACTGCCATAAGGGCAGCTTGTAGAATTTTTCTATGTCTGCAGAAGGGCTTGTTTTTATATAAGTTCTATTGCTCCTTCTAACAGCTGTTAGTTAGTTTTTGTTATATGTTTGCTATACGTTAGATTTTCTGCTTCCCTGTAACTGGTTGTATAGGTTTGCTTTTAATCAGATGAGCCAAGCAGTGAAGTCAGGAGAACAAGAAAGTATATGCAGCAGTCTTGAAATTCATGGTACTTTGTGAATGTGTTCTACAAAGCAGGTTGTTGATGGTAAGGTTGGATTCTGTATGTGTGGTATTTCTGGAGATGATCCAGAGAGAGCCTGGTTACACCACTTGCTCTTCCTGAGCTCTTGCTTCCCTGGTTTCTTTGAGAGTACAAATACCTGAAGCATGCTTGGAAGCTGCTGCTTTTGTGTGTTAACAGTGCTCAGCAGATTTCTCAAGTGCTAGTTTCTTGCAGCTATGAAGAAATTTAAGAAACCCATTCTTTTCTCCTTTTGACTCCTGGGGAATTACTGCATAGCCTAAGTGTACCACTACATGCTCCACTGCAGGGTGGACATGAGGGAATGGGGGTATTTCACTGGTCACTGTAGAAGGCTGGCTGTTCAGAAATTGCTTCCCTGTTGCTTACAGAAGAAACACAGTGTGATAAATAGGTAAATCTGTGTCATCTGCTTCAGGGTTTGTTTGAGAGCAATTAATTGGAAGTAGTTTTTACTGAAATTATATTTTTCCGTCAAAGAAAAGATGCTTAAGTCTTACTTGCTCTTACTCAGTACTCATTAAAAACACTTGCAGTGATAGCTGCACTTTCTGCTCCCTCCTCTCCCCAGCCCCATGTCTCTCCCAGCATGCAACTTTCATAGCTCATGTAATGTGGTCAGAGGAGAGAGCGAAAACCAGAAGACTGAAAAGTAGGAGATAGGCAAGAAAGGAGCATGACAATAGCCTCATGTTAGAGGATAAGCAGAGGCGGGACAAATGCCACTACCCATTCTGTGGAAGCTACTGACCAAAACCACAAGATGCATGCTGTGGTAGCAGCACACTTGGGAGGAACACAACCTCAGGAAACCTGACTGCAAAACCTGGGCTACAGAATATAACTCTTTTATCTTAGAATTCAACCCACTGCTAACCCTTCGCAGTATGAACAGACTTACGTGCTGCTGACCGGGCATACTGATTGGAGTACTCATGCTTATAGGCTTTCCTAAAATGTCATTATTCTCCTAACACAGCAGAGCAAGGACTCGTTCCACAGGCAAATCTATTCAGCAGAAATTTCCCTGTGGAATTTGGGTCAAACTGTGGAACCCAGAACACGATTGATGCCTCCTCATGGTCACAGAAAACCTGCACAGCCCAAGTTTGAAGACTGAAACAGACATCAGTTGAGTCAGAAGAAAATACCAACCTGGAAGAAACACTGCGAGACGAGACACAGATACCCCAAACAACAAAGACCAGGCTACATGTTTTGGTTTTTTGATACTTTGCATCTGTTTTGGAAAAAATATACAAAAAAAAAAAAGCCAAGAAGAACCAACATGGAAATGTGAGGTAAACATTCCCATAAAAGTACAGACAAAGGCTTCATTTTTTAAAGGAGACACACAGCAGTTACCACCATGCTAGAAGAATGAGATGCAGGAAAATCCTAGGAACAGTGAAAAGTCATGTAATGAAGCCTTGCCCCCAGTTCTAGCCATCATAAAGGGGCTTTTTTGTTCTTCCCCCATCTCCCACCCATATTTAATTGTTTTTTTATTCCTTAAACAAAGTTGTTATATTGTAAAATGGCAGTTTTGATATAAATTCTGTATAGCAAAATTTACAGAAATGCAGGCTGCTACTAAAGACACTGTCAGTTTTTGGTTCTGTTTTTGGTTGTCTTTTTTTTTGTCTTGCCAAAGCCCCCCAGTGAAAACTACACTGTTGAGGCAAAACTGCCTTCTTGATTCTGCCAATCTGAATGCCACGTCATGCCACTCCACTGAAGAAGTGGTGTCAATTTCCTTTACACCGGTGTTATTAGTTACCCCACAAATCTACGATGAAGTTATGGAACACTTAAAGCCCAGCCTCAGCTCCACAGTGGTGGCTGTATATCCCCATAGTCAATTCCTGAAGCCAGGTTTCACCGGGAGCGTTAGCTGGGCCTCAGGGAGGAACAGAGATCTAGGGAGGTGATATAGTCAGCTCACATGCTATCAGCTACTACTATGAATTTTCACGTCCAGTCTGTATATTTGCAGACTGAGTACATTGTTTTAGTTATTCTTCAATAACTAGCACAGTCACCCACACCAGAACAATCAGGCTTTGATTCAGTAAGATGCTTAAGGACATACTTCAAGTCTGTCTAATAGTCTGGAAACTGGATGGCTAGGTGAAGTCCATAATGCTAAGGAATGCTTAAGTAGCTCACTGAATCGAGGTTGGATGTTTATTACGCTTTGATAGTATCATTCGGGTTAGATTCCCGATCACCATTATTTTAATCTAAATTAAATATATGCAACTACTTCAGATCTATGCTGAGCTTATTCAGATTCGACCCACTGGTAGAAGCACTTCTTATGGTAAGAAAAGGTAAAAGTGATCCCCCCCCCGCCCAAGATGTATAAATTCAAAAATGAAAAAGAAAAAAATTGTGTACAAATATCACATAACAACATCAACAATTCCATAGATGTAGTTCCTCAGTGCGCACTTTAAACAAGAAAAGGTTTTTTTCTTCTTTTTCCTTTTTGCTTTTGAATTCTGGCATAATAATATTAAAGCTGACAAAAAATCAGGGCAAGCTACATCACTTCTTCATACAAAAAAAGTACAAAACATTAGCCTCTAACTAGACATAACATAATACTGGTCATCACAGTTAGACATTTAGTAACTGTGTGTCTTGAGTATTGTACTGGGGGGTAATAAAAAATAGCTTCAGTTGCCAGTCTTCCATCTCAGGTTACTTCCGTCATAGAGGCAGAGTGATTCTGCAAAGGAGAAAAAGCAAGCACATGAACATTTGTATACATTTTGGCATTTACATATCCTGGTGTGTAAAATGAATGAGAAAAACCTTCCTTAATAAAACCTGTTGCACAGCTAATTTAGGTCTTCAAAATGAAGAGATCACTGCAAATGTGACTGCCTTCTGTCCTAAGCTTGTGGTGGGGAAGGCTGAATTCAAGCCTTGATTTTGGGCTATGAACACTCACTAACTGGTTTGAAGAACATGGTGTGTTTTTTAAAATGGAGACTTTCAAACGACTATTGTGTCCAGAGAAACATGTCAGTACAGGCTCAAGCACTTCGTACAGTCATGCAACTAATATAGTGCATCTATCCTCAGCCACTGAAGAGCCTAGGACACCACAGATTGGCTTCATGTAATGTATGATTCTACACAGTTTGATATTAGGGAACATACAGACTTTAAAACCATACAGAGGTGGGCTCATTAAGTCAACATATATCTAGCCACAGGTATATAGCAACACAGAAGTCCCCTTTAGGTGGAAACTGTTGATTTAACCTTGGAAGCCAATGTCCAGAACTTCAGTGGCAGTACTGAGTTGTCCTTGGATCATGCTGCATATTTTAGGTTTTGTGCGGGTGCAAAGCAAAATGACTGGGAATGAATGCAGAATCTGCACAGAGAAGGATGATGCACCTTCTTTATCTGAAGAAAGAGTAATGAGCAGCCACTCCCAAGGGTTTGCTTGTGAGAGGTTCAGAGTAGGACCACTTTTTCCCCAATCTATTCCTGCATGGTAGATGTATGATCATTTAGAGACAGACACCCCCAGTCAGAGAAAACTCTTGTTGGTCACAGTGGACATCAACAGGTAAGGCCTAGTCCCTACCTTGCCCTTCACAGTCCAGAAGTTATAAATAGCTCACTAGACAAAATTTTTCTCAGAGTCTATGAATATTTTCACCTGTTCACCCCTTCTGTCATACGCAATACAATGTAGTTATGTAAGTAGCACTTAGTTTCTGAACCTAAAGTCCATCAAGAGAACAGTTAATACACACAGTTCTGCAGATTAGTTAAAAGTCTTCCAGCAAATCTTTGCCTAATCAAAATTGACTTTTCAATTAAGCAAAATATTTCCAGGCATTAGAAACAGTGTATTTTTTTTTTTTAATAAATTCCTGATTCCTGATCTGTTTATTTGTCAAAGGGTTTAACAAAAATCACTATTAATCTTGCCACACACCATGTACACAGGAATGACAGGCCACCTAGTAAGATGAGTACAATTTAAAGAACAAATAAATTATAACAGGGCATTTCAAATAACAGATAACAGACAAACTACACTTCCTCCTGTTGCCAGAAATTTTTCACAGGTGGCATTTGCTTGTCTGTTTTGAAAGGGCTGGGTGTAATTCAGTTTACGCCAGCACAAGCCATTTGAAGTTAGTTTTAAAAGAAACACCATCAATAACAGTGCTCTCAGTAGCCTGTTCTTTTTTTTTTTTCAAACTTGAAAGAATGATATTAACTTCTCTTCTGATGACTTAGAGATAGAAAGGGTATATGATTTCTTCTTATAGAAGATACTGAACAGTAATAAGGATAAAAACCTAATCTCTGTCATATTTTTCTGGACAGCATAGTTTATCCCCACGATTAAGAATGTGAGAGTAAATCCTTAAGATATGCCAAAAGCACCCTGAAGTGTAATTAGACAGAATTATCTTCACTTTTATCTCAGTTTTCTATTCTTCTAAGTCAAAGTTTGTTACCACAAATAATACGCTCAGGCATGCGAAATCCTACTGGTTTACGTTTGGAAGTGCACAATACAGTACTTAGTAGTTTAAAAGATAAATGCCTTAAAACAAACTCTCCCCTGATGCAAATTCACTCTGCTCGATGGGCTTAGTGTCAGGGATGTGTAGTTACAAATACAACTAGTTTTTACTCTGCCACAACAGATAATGTGCTTGTTGATGGTCTGGGTAAGAGGATTTACAGTACCTGTGCACTCAATGTCTCCAGAGGACTTTCCACTCTTGGAAAAGCCATTAGCGGCATTC